GGGTTGCCCGCGGGTGCTCCAGGGGTGCTGCGGGAGTGCCCCGGGGGTGTCCAAGGGGTGCCCCGGGGGAGGTTGCCTCGAGGGTGCCCCGGGGGTCTCCCGGAAGTCTCCCGGGGGTTCCCCGGGGTTCTCCCGGGAGTCTCCTGGGGGTCTCTCGGGGTTGCCCCGGGGGTGTCCCCAGGAGTGCCCCGAGGGTGCCCTGGGCTCCTGGGGGTCTTCCAGGGGTCTCCCTGGGTCGCCTGGGGATCTCCCGGGGGTGCACCGGGGGTTCCCCGGGGGGGCCACGTGGGGTGCCCCGGGTGTGCCCCGGGGGTGCAACGGGTGGTGCCCCAGGGGTGTCTCGGGTGTCTCCCTGGGGAGCCCCAGTGCTGCCCCGGGGGTTTCCCAGGTGTGCCCCGGGCTTCTCCCGGGGGCGCCCCAGGCTTCTCCCGGGTGTCTTCCAGAGGGAATAACCCGGGGGTGCCCCGGGCTTCTCTCGGGGGTCTCCCAGGGGGTGCCCCAGGGTTGTCCCGGGGGTGCCACGGGGGTGCCCCGGGGTGTCCCGGGAGGGTCCTAGGGGTTAGCGGGTTTAGGTCTACTATAAATGATCTTTTCATTTAATGCTTAAAATATATGCTAAATTTTAGCATTTACTTGTTATTCATTGCTGTGTTGATTTTTACATTTAATAATTACAACATTTTAAAATTTTATTTCTACAACACTCAAAGCATAATAATTATGACAAAAATATATATAGCATTTAAACTAAATATTTAAATTAAAATAAAATAATATATCAAATAACAAATATGTCCTTTTTATGTCACATATAACATTGGTTTTTTTATTTAATCATCACGACATTAGTTAGCATTTTCAAATTATTTTAGAATTAAAAATTTATTTCTACATCTAAAGTTATTATCATGACAAAAGTAAATATGTTGTATTTAAAATAGTATTATACATTCGAATACAAATAAAAATAAAAATAAAAACATGCTAAACTATTATTTTTACACTTTTTTTATGTTAAATATAACAAATATAGTTTTGACACCGAAAGGTCGGAATGGCTAGCTTGTAGTGTAAACCAACTAGTCTTTGATATATTTATTTCCCTCTTATAAATCTTCGAGAACTGCAGGCTTTTATTTATTTTAGGTTCATATATATCATAATCATATAAGAGAACCTAATCCAATTGTTAATTTAATCAAAGTCGGTTATGATAATGTTGTATTTTTCAAATTCGAAAGACTAGAACAAATCACGACCTTATACGACATACGCTTTTATTCTTTTTTTCTTTGTGAAAGTGACATAAGCTTTTATTAGTATTATCGTCTCTGAGAAGCTTTTTTGTTTTTTTAGTTATAACTTTTTTTTTGAGTAATTATTTAGTTATAGCTTTCCCGTGACATCTCAAAGCAATTTCATCTTGAAAATTACTGGATAACATTTCAAAAAGTACAACAAATACGAAAAGGTTTATTTTCCAAAACATAAACTTCAAATTGGTTTTTTTTTTTTTTTTTTTTTCCAAAAAAGAAAAGTTCCTGATTATGGCGATGCAAATACCAATTCTACTTACTACATTAAACTACAAGAAAATACAATTTCGAAAAACAATCTGTTGCGCTAATAAATACAAATGAAATGCTTAATGATAAGAAATGTGTAACGAATTCCATAACAACATAAAAAACACTCAAACTGAGTCAAAACATCTCTAAAAAAAAAAAATTGAGTTATACAAATTATTTTCATATCAACCGAAAGAAAAAGAAAAAAAATCAGGCATATTATCTTCGTTTTTAAAAAAAAATCCTCAATCGTCTCCAACTAGCTTTTAGTCTGAGCAACGAATTATTTATTATTGATTTCTTTTTTGCTGGATTAAATAAATTGAGTTGAATTCAACTAAAACAAGTAAAAATAAATAAATATTAGTTCCAAACCAAAACTTGAACAAAAAAAAAATCCCCTAAGAAAACTTGAAAAAAGAAAAATAAGAGAAAAGCCCAATGGAAATAAAAATTGTGCTAAGTGGCGAGCTTTCATTGGAAGATAGCCAACGCACGCAAAAGGAGTACTCCGCTGGCTGTTCGAGTTAAATACTCCTTAGATCCTCCTCAGTCGACACATTAAGGGACACTTGTAATCTTACTGTCTGAATTCCACGCTCCAACTAGCTATCCGGAAGACCCACGCGATCTCAATGCCCAACTACATCCACTTCTACTGGTGCGTGTCTTCCACTCGCGACAATCGAGAATCGACATGATAATTAACTCATCAGCACCCAAAATTCCGCCGGCGTTTATTCCCAAGCTACAAGATCAGAACCGTTGAGATCCAGGGGTCCCACTGATAAACCCGGGACCACAAATCACAGGCGGTCCTGATCTAATCCAAACCAGAAAATCAAAAGTCGTTACGAGTATTTATTTCGACCAGCGAAAAGAAATCTGTTGATTATTTGGCTTTCGCTGTATAAAAGACGTATTTAGAAAGAAAAAGTGTATTTTACCAGTAGAAATATACGGTAATCAATAACGAAACGATCGAGGGAAAGACAAAAGCAAGTGTCGGATAGATCTCTCTCTCTTTCTCTCTCCTCTCCTCTCTCTCTCTCTCCTCTTCTGATCGCCGATGGGTTTGTGGGAAGCTTTTCTCAATTGGCTCCGAAGGTTAGCTTTTTCTCTCTAATGGTTTCTATTATATATTGCTCGAATAAATGCCGTATGCAAATTTGATGTTTAGGTTTCAGCTTTTTTCTTTTTTTGGTGTGAAAGGAATAGTACTATTGATCGACAAAGCATTTTGATCGTTTGAAAAACCTTTTTTTTTTTTAATTTTTTTAATTTTTCCGATAGTGAAAGATAATCTGTTCCTCAGTATAAATACTATTGGTTTATTCCTGAAATTTTTCTGGAAAATTGGCTTTTTTTTTTTTTTTTTTTTTTTTTTTTTTTTTGCTGAATGAAAATTGGCTTGTTCATTACTTTCGTATGTTTTAATTTTTTTTTGGTTAATGATCGAAATCATATGGCGTAGAATGGATAGCTGTATCAGCTCAAAAATTATTTCACGGATTGAATATCTCGTTTGGCGAATTTCGTAGTTCCTTTTTCATCTTTTTTTTTTTAAATCTAGCGATTCATACTGTAATGTAATGGACAACTTCTGGAGTTGGTTATTATCTTGTGGAACATGGCATCTACAGAGTGGTTTTTGTTGAATAACAAATCAAACATTGATTAATCCTTTTTTGTAATAGCTTACTTCAGATAAAGTTGATTTCTTAAATTTTGATTATTTTTTTGAGAGAGAAAATACTGTAATAAAACGGTTTGAATTGTAGTTTAAACCTGCAAAACAAACGTCATCTTAAAGTTTGACTTTTTCTTGTTTTGGTTATCCCTAAAACCTCTCACAGCTATGGCTTAGTTACTGGGAGCGCCATCTTCTTTGTTACTTTAGTTTGGTCTTTAGCCTATATTGGCAGATTATTTCAATGCTTGTAATTCACTTTATTGTGCATGCAATTTCAGCCTCTTTTTCAAGCAGGAAATGGAGCTCTCCTTGATAGGGCTTCAGAATGCTGGAAAGACTTCACTCGTAAACGTCGTGGCAGTAAGTCAACATCAATAACTATTTTTTAGTATCGAATTTAATTTTTTCTGCTTCGAGTTTGTGCTAATGCACTTTGTTCTGTTTGTTCTTAGACTGGTGGGTACAGTGAAGACATGATCCCCACGGTGAGTTAAGCTTCCCTTTTCAAAAGGGCCATAATTACTTTGAGCTTGACCTAATTCTGTGATCTAATGCTTGTTTAGTCTGTTAGCCTTTTGAATTTATCATTGTCAATTTTCTTCTATGAATAAATGAATAGTGAAACTATTTTCTGATATGGCGGCATTATGTTTCAGGTGGGATTTAATATGAAGAAGGTGACAAAAGGGAATGTTACAATCAAGTTGTGGGATCTTGGAGGTCAACCAAGGTTCCGCAGCATGTGGGAGCGATATTGTCGTGCAGTTTCTGCTATTGTGTAAGAATCCAACTTCTTATCCCAATGGACTTTGCAAAACCACATAATATATTGATTGCTGGGATAGAATTTTGCTGATTCTTTTGAATAATCAGTCCATGTTTTAGCTTTGCAAATACACGCCCTTTTCTGCGTTAAAGAGCTTCATTTTTGTGTAATCACACAATGTTTTTCTGGACAATCAACTGCAAATACTGATAGAAAATACTAGTTACGAGTCATACGAATAAGATTGCTAATCTCAATGACTAGGTCTCTAACTAAAGGGTGTCTGTTAACATTGTTGAGAATGAGTAAAGGTGCAATGGCAAGGCAGATGCCTTTGGTAATTCTGCAAATATATGCTCTGCCTTTACACTTCTGCTCTAATTAATCTTAAAATTGATTGATAGTGGAAATTATGTAAATCCTGTAAAGTCTAGGAGGTCTTATGTGGTAAGTGTAATATAAAGTTTTAGTTGTTTATCAAATATTTTGGATGAGGTCCTCTGATTGCAATTTTACTGTGTTTAGATAATTTATTCAACAAAATATTATGCTTATCTTGTGCTGACATTACAAGTTGTTTCCCTTGGTTGGACGCAGTTATGTTGTTGATGCTGCTGATCCCGATAACTTGAGCACCTCAAAAAGTGAACTTCACGACTTATTGAGCAAGCCATCATTGGCCGGTATCCCGTTGCTGGTCTTGGGAAACAAGATTGACAAACCAGGAGCTCTATCCAAACAGGCTTTGACTGATGAAATGTAAGACAATATTTTGGCTTCCATGAAAAAGCTTTCATAACCAAACTCTAATATATCATTATCATTTCTCTAAGCTTGACTGAATGGTAGGAATTGAGGACCCAATAATTGAGTTATACTTTTTGGCATATTTGATTCCATCTGGTCATCATCTTCTATATTTTTTTTTAGGAAGATTCCTTCTGGTCTAAATCCCTTTTAGAAACGTTAAATGTCCCAACCACAAATGGGTCATTCTGATTCCTTAGTGAAATTAAAAAATCTTGAAAAGAAAATGGAATATTCTCATGTATGCTGCTGACATTCTATAAATTAATCTTTTCATTGAATTCTTATCTGAATTTTTGCAATGATAAGAAAACCAATTTGTACCATCTACAAACGAACTTAAAATCCAATTTTGAGACAGTATTCATTGTTGTGGTCGACTAGAATTTAATTATTGTGCCTTGCAGGGGACTCAAATCTATCGACGACAGAGAAGTATGCTGCTTCATGATCTCTTGCAAGAACTCAACCAACATTGATTCGGTCATCGACTGGCTTGTAAAGCATTCAAAATCAAAGAGCTGAGGTGGCTTGTCTTCTTCTGTTCTTCCCGTCTTATATGTGTCATAATTTATGAGAGATTCATTTATGGGTTGTTGGTGATTGAGATCCACTTGCCTAACTTGATGGCTAATTGTTTCTTCACTTCTCTTCATTCTGAGCTGTACCATATGTCACCGAGTTCATGTCTAATTCAATCTCTCTCCCCAAATTCATATTCTCTCATTTTCTTACTCATGTAGATTGTGGGAAACACGGAGTGTTACATTTTTTTTCACTTGATGTGTGTTAGTGGTTCAATGCTGCTGGAATTGTTCATGTGATTCTTTTCATATCAGTAGACTTACTAGCTTTGGAGTAATTACAGAAAATTTTCGCAGTCCTATAAAAACAATTTTAGTTTGCATGGTAATGCTCTAAGTATGCAACTGATAAATAGAAGTGTTTGTGGTCACTGGTCATAGACCTAAACCGATTGAGTTGATCAGGGGTCAAATTTTATTATCTTTATCAAAAAATTTAAAAAAAAAAAAAAAAAAAGGTTCTTGTATAACTGGAATATACGAAGTCTGGAGTTTTCTTGTTGTCATGTTGTTTGATTTATAATACTGAACATGATATAAGAGGGTAAATTAAACTAACAAATGACAGTATGAGATGAAGGACATGGGAAACTGAGAAATCAAGAAACGACCTCGAGAGGGAAAAGGACCATAAAAGCATGAAAACGACAATATCCTCAAAACGACACTTACCATGTAAACAACAAAATAAGGCCTCATCTACTGGCAAACATCAAAATAGTGTCTTTTGCAAAAACGACGCTAACCAGAAAAACGACATCCATGGTGTAAACAAGGGACAATGAGTTGTTTGGCAGAGCTTTCGAAAAGTTACTTCTTGGTTTACTTTTTTGCTTCCTATAAGAATTTTTTGTTAAAACTACAAAATAAGACTTCCAAAAAATGTTCTTAAAAGACCTTGAAACTTATGACAGTTTCAATAAGACATTACGAACTTCATTTTAATATTTTTATGTAATAAAAATTTTTAAATCATTTTGGCCTATCAAATTCCTTTAAAAATGTGGTTCAAAAAATTTATTAAGGCCTCATTCATTTCACCGATTCGAGTTTTCAGTTTTAGATTTTTACAGTAAAAAGTTCTCAGAAAATGTCACATCTAACTTTTTCTGTTACAGTGAAAAGCTATCAGAAAATGTCACATTTCAGCTCGAATTAAAAACTCGAATCCGCAAAATGAACGGTGCATGTTTTTGCTTGTTTTTTCTACTGACTAAAAACAAAAGAAAAACTCTGCGGTGCCAACATCTTCTAAAAAACGACAACAACCCTAAGAATGACGATAACCGGAAAACAACAATAAAAAACAGCGTCGACTAAATCCAATGAAAATACGAAAGGACATTATTTGGAAGAACAACCTAAGAATGTATATATTTCAAAAAAACAAAAAAACAAAAAAAAAACAAAGAATAAAGAATAAATGGTAACTCAAAACGACGACAAGGTAAAAAACGACGATAACCGTAAAACTAGCAGCAACGAAAAAGGACATTACAATTTAATCCAGTCTTTAAAAATGTTCACTAAGTGCGGTATTAAAATTTAATTCTGTCCTCCCCACAAAACAGGCCAATGATAAGGAGTACTCAAAACCTTAGCCGTTGAGCAGTTAAACTTAAACCTCACAAAAACCCCCCAACCTCTCTCTCCCACACTCTCATACTTCCGCCATGGAAGCTCTGTCAAAACCTCCTCAAATTCCTTCTCCCCAATTCGAACCAGACACCGAGAGAATCAAACGAAACCTTCTCAAAAAGGGCGTGGACCCAACCCCGAAGATTGTCCACACCCTCCGCAAGAAAGAATTCCAAAAACACAACCGCAAAGCGAAGCGCCTCGCCTACAACCAATCCCTGACGGAGTCTCAGAAACAGGCACTCGCCGAGCAATCGCACTTCCAAACCCTGAGGCGCGAGTACAAGGACTTCAACAGAGCGGTGAATTCGAGACCGATGATGGTCGGCAGACCCTGGGAGAGCCTCGAGAGCGTCGAGGTTGCGAAATTGAGCGCCGAGTACAGCGGAGAGAAGCTGAAGAGAGAGGAATTTTTGGAATTGGGGCAAATGTTCGAGTCGCGGAAGCGCGACGAGTTGCGGTGGGCTTTGGACGACGACGTCGAGGTCAAGGAGGAGTGGTTGGACGGTGAGAAGACGCGGTGGGACCCGTCGAACCGGAGGCGGAGCGAGGTCGAGGTGATTCGATTTCTCGTTGATAGGTTTGTGATGGAAAATTTTCTTCTTGTTTTTTAGATGATTCGCTTTCTTGTTGATAGGGTTTTTCTTTCTTTCTTTCTTTCTTTTTTCAGGCTTTGTGGAACGAAGCTCGGAAGGAGGGACTGGAAGCTTCGGAGGATAATGAAGCAATCAGGATTGGAGTTCACAGAGGGACAGGTGCTTAGGATTGTTGAAGGGCTTGGTGCCAAGGGATGTTGGAAACAAGCAGTGTCTGTTGTTGAGTGGTTGTATGATGATAATAAGGAAACGAGACAACATAAAAGCAGGTAATTTTTAGGTCCATTTTATATTTTATACCATGCATTTTGAGTTTATCAAAGGAAAAAAAAAAAAAAAACTTCTATTTTGGATGTTGTTAAGTGTACCTTTGAATTTCAAATTCATAACAATTTTGTACCTTTTCTGGGTTAACAGTTGATTTTGATCCTTGACAAATTTAACATTACCAAGAGAAAAAAAAAAATCAGATGTAATGTTTTGAAAAAAGATATAAATTTGAAATTCGGAGTTATAGTTGTCAACTAGCGTTTCATTTCAAGTTTATCTCTAAGTTTGAAAGGGTAAATTCGTCAATTCAGAATTCAAAATCAACAGTGAACCTATAAAAGGTACAAATTTGATATGGATTTGAAATTTGGAGGTATATTTTCCAGAATATCCAAAATATACGGTTGCTTTTATGATAAACTCAAAATGCAGGGTATAAAATCATTAGTATCCCTAACTTTTTTGTTGTGTTCTTATCAATCTATCATTCATATCTTGGGCATAATGCCATCGTTTCCAAACTCAATTATCTGAAAATGTTTTATGCAAAAGCAAGGTTTTTCATGTCACTAAAGCAAATTGGTGGGAATGAAGATTGTTCATGGGTTGGTAAATTCATTTGGATTAAAAGTCATGTACTTGTCCCTGGATAGGGCTAGATGCAGCACTAAGTCATATTTTGATTTTGCAGTCTTATTGATATATTGTTTTGATTCTTCTGATTATGTTCCCTCCCTATCGGGAACATAGTTCATGAAATGAAAAGGAATTATCGTTTTAGCTTCTGCTACTAATCAGTTTTGCTGAAAAGTTTATGTATTTTGTAGGTTTGTTTACACGAAACTGTTGTCGATTCTTGGAAAAGCAAGGAGGCCGGAGGAAGCTCTTAATGTTTTCAACACGATGCGTGTAATGACCAAGTACTTTTGGAAATTCATGTTTTCAGATCGTACTGTGAATAATTATGCAATATTGCTCGATTCTAACACTAAGTCATTCAGGGAGATTGCTATATATATCCTGATATGGCTGCATATCGTAGCATTGCTGTTACAATTGGTCAAGCTGGTCACGTGAAAGAATTGCTGAAAATCATGGTGTCCATGAGTTGATTTTGATCCTTGACAAATTTAACAATACCAAGAGAAAAAAAAAAAAAAATCAGATGTAATGTTTTGAAAAAATATATAAATTTGAAATTCGGAGTTATAGTTGTCAACTAGCGTTTCATTTCAAGTTTATCTATAAGTTTGAAAGGGTAAATTCGTCAATTCAGAATTCAAAATCAACAGTGAACCTATAAAAGGTACAAATTTGATATGGATTTGAAATTTGGAGGTATATTTTCCAGAATATCCAAAATATACGGTTGCTTTTATGATAAACTCAAAATGCAGGGTATAAAATCATTAGTATCCCTAACTTTTTTGTTGTGTTCTTATCAATCTATCATTCATATCTTGGGCATAATGCCATCGTTTCCAAACTCAATTATCTGAAAATGTTTTATGCAAAAGCAAGGTTTTTCATGTCACTAAAGCAAATTGGTGGGAATGAAGATTGTTCATGGGTTGGTAAATTCATTTGGATTAAAAGTCATGTACTGGTCCCTGGATAGGGCTACATGCAGCACTAAGTGATATTTTGATTTTGCAGTCTTATTGATATATTGTTTTGATTCTTCTGATTATGTTCCCTCCCTATCGGGAACATAGTTCATGAAATGAAAAGGAATTATCGTTTTAGCTTCTGCTACTAATCAGTTTTGCTGAAAAGTTTATGTATTTTGTAGGTTTGTTTACACGAAACTGTTGTCGATTCTTGGAAAAGCAAGGAGGCCGGAGGAAGCTCTTAATGTTTTCAACACGATGCGTGTAATGACCAAGTACTTTTGGAAATTCATGTTTTCAGATCGTACTGTGAATAATTATGCAATATTGATCGATTCTAACACTAAGTCATTCAGGGAGATTGCTATATATATCCTGATATGGCTGCATATCGTAGCATTGCTGTTACACTTGGTCAAGCTGGTCGCGTGAAAGAATTGCTGAAAATCATGGAGTCCATGAGACAGAAGCCTTCTAAAAGAACTAAAAACATGCACATTAAGAACTGGAACCCTGTTCTTGAACCCGATATTGTTGTATATAATGCTGTAAGACAATCTTTCTGTATATTTTCCGCCTAGAATTTCCTGTCACAGGTTAATCTGCCTAATAATGACAAGATTTTTTCCTTTTAAATTGTTTACTAGGTACTGAATGCTTGTGTTTCATCCCATCAGTGGAAGGGGGTGTCTTGGATTTTCAAGCAGTTAAGAGAAAAAGGTTTAAAACCTAATGGGGCTACTTATGGACTTGCTATGGAGGTATCTATTGCAATACGTGTTTATTCTCAAATTGTAATTGTACTCTAGTCTCAAACTAGCTGTGTTTGTTGAAAGGTAATGCTACAATCTGGAAAGTATGACCTTGTCCACGAGTACTTCAGAAAAATGAGAAAAAGTGGGGAAACGCCAAAAGCTCTTACCTATAAAGGTATATTTTTTGTTTTAGGGATTACCTGCATTTACTGGAATTGATTGAAATATGTGGTGAATGGTACATCCTTTTTGTGCACGACTCCAGTTCTTGTCAGAGCTTTCTGGGGTGAAGGAAAGGTGAATGAAGCTGTTGAAGTAGTCCGGGATATGGAACAAAGGGGAGTGGTTGGTGCAAGCAGTGTGTACTACGAGTTAGCTTGTTGCCTCTGCAGCAATAGAAGGTGGGAGGACGCAATGTTAGAGGTAAATATATTTTGGCAATGTTGGGGCAGGGCTTTACTATATCGTTTTGAGGATGTGACTTTCAGCTACGTATGATGTCTGTGAATGTTTCTCATTTGAAGCTGTTGCAGAATATCCTTAGCAAAGATTTCATGCGGTTAAGAAGATAATTTAGGAAGATGAACTGTGTTTCGAGAGTGTTCCCTGTACTTGTGTGGACACTTCTTTTTATTAACTGCTCAATTTGTTTGTTAATTTACGGAGAGGATGTTGACGAAGTTTCTTTTTATGACCTTAAATATTGGATACATGAGCATAAACTATTATTGAGGCAAGCTAATTATGATTATTATAAAAGCATGAGAATACCCATTTCCAGGAGATGATTTAATCTTTTCTGAACTTTGCAGTTCACTTGTTACTAGAATGAATCTCTCATTTCTTTTCTCTTTTTATTTTTTAATTCTTATCTTTATTTGCACTTTGTAGATTTTTTGTATTTGATTTTTTTTTCAAGGGCCTGGAAAGTTAATTCGCCTTACAAATATTAACGCAGGTTGAGAAGATGAAGAAGCTGTCTAATAGTAGACCTTTGGAGGTTGCCTTCACTGGCATGATAATGTCTTCTATGCAGGGTGGACATATCAGTGATTGCATATCTATTTTTGAACACATGAAAACTCATTGTTCCCCCAACATTGGGACCTTGAATATCATGCTGAAAGTTTATGGTCGTAATGATATGTTTTCTAAGGCTAAAGAGTTGTTTGAAGAGATAAAGAAAAGGAATTCTGATTCTTGCTCTTCCTTCGATGGTGGTGATACTTTCCTCATCCCAGATGAATACACATACAATGCAATGCTTGAGGCATCTGCTAGCGCTCTGCAATGGGAATACTTCGAGTATGTGTACAAAGAGATGGTTCTCTCTGGATATCAACTTGATCAGAATAAGCACGCCTCTCTACTTCCGGAAGCATCTAGAGCTGGGAAGGTAATTCTTTGCCCCTAAAATTATATTTAATGCAATTTGTTCAATAAATATGTTCACTTCAATACAATTTTAGTATCCTATCCTACCACATTGAAATAGGTGGCATTGCAATAAAACTCAATGTCACCGTGTCACATCATATCGAAATGACGTTTACTGAAAAAACTTAGCACGCCAAGTCAGCATATATTTGGTTTTCAATGTAGTGGCATTTGCTGGAGCATGCATTTGATGCAATCTTAGAAGCTGGAGAGATTCCTAATTCTCAGTACTTCACTGAAATGGTGCTCCAAGCTACAGCCCGGCACGATTACGACCGAGCTGTTACTCTGGTTAATGCAGCGGCTTTAGCCCCCTTTCAAGTCACTGAAGAGCAGTGGAAAGATTTCTTTGAAAAGAATAGAGAAAGAATTAGCCAGGATAACTTAGAGAAACTGTTGCGTTCTCTAGATAACTGCAATGTAAAATCAGAAGCCACGGTCGTAAACTTATCAAGAGCATTGCGCGGACTATCTGACCTATCTGAATCTGGGGCATCAAGAGACTTCTCAAGTTCCATTGCTTTTGGCAGCAGAGAAGCAACTATGCCCCGTCATTCTGAAGAATCAATTGACGATGACACTGACTCTGACAAGGATCCTCTTCTTGATAGTAGTGATGTTTCATTCAGTGTATCTTCTGTTGTTCAGGCTAGCTCAAGCACCGATATTATCGGTACAGAGATGGTCTCTGGCTCATTGAACGACCGTTTCCATTATGAAGAGACAAACTTACCTACCAGAAAATTCGGTTTTGTGGAAGATGAAGTCACTGATGACTTGAGTGATCCTTTACACGGTAAGCTCTCAAGAATTAGTCTAATTGAAAACTGTGCGGACGTTGATGAGATGGAACTCGAGACACTCGTAGATGGCATCGATGATTTTGAAGAATCGAATTTGCCCTCAGCATATGAAGTATTGGAAGCTTGGAAGGAAAGGAGGAAAAAGGACGGGATGTTGTTCTCATTTCAACTCGGCCAAATGTAAGCCTAGTTTCCTCTCAAGGTGAACGTTGAGAAGAAATTGACAAGGGAAAAAGTAGTATTGTAAATTAAATCGTGTATATATATGCATAACAATGAAATCTTATCTAAAGATCATATAGAAAGGGAAAAATGAAAACAAAGTCCAAATAAAGCCATTTGGATTTTCTTTATTAAGCTTCATGTCTCGCAAACCAACAGCAAGCAACACGCCAACATCGATGCTAATTTTTATTGTTATTTTCGCATCCCTAGAAACGAAAATAAAAGGGTAAAAACTAATATAAAGTTAAAATTAGTTACCGGTTTTTGGGTTTCTTCAATAGAAAATCCCACAAAACCGAACTGATCATTTTTGTCAATTTTTCAGTTTCGAATTACATTTTGTCATGTCAAAATCATCAAAACATTTTGAATTTTTAAATGATATGGTATGATATGATTGGTTAATACTATTTTGGATTAAAATTAGACATGTGATTTGAATTCAATTGAAACAGCCTAGGCAACCGACGGCTGGTTCAGTTTCCAGGTCCATCTTGGCAGCAGCTTTGCCAAAAAAGAAGAAAGAAGATTTATGTCCAAAATAGAATGGCAGAAACATTCAAAATCGCGTAAGATTGCAAACCAAAGTACTAAACAAATATCCATAACATGTTCATCCATGTACAATCAAATTACAAGCTCAACATCCATAGGTCACAAAGACAAATAAACACGAAGCAGCCGTAGTCCTTCATTAAAAAAAAAAAAAAAAAAAAAAAAAAAAAAAAAAAAAAAAAAAAAAAAAACACTTCCAAGACTTTTTTGCCAAGTGAACTTCTCATGTTAAGCTAATTAGTCCCTGAACTAAAAGATCTTTGCAATTGATTTCTTAAACATCAAATCCATTTCATGGTAGGTCTAGTCCAAAATAAGCTAATTTTTTAACCTTCCTCTATTTGGGGCGGGTTAGGTATTTTTTGCTCGAATTAGACCCTATATTGAAAAAAAATAATGAACAAAATTAGGTATGGAAATCATCAATTGGTTAAAGATTATAGAAATTTGGGGTACAATCTTGAACTCACTTAACATAACACATTTTTATATAAGCTCAAAATCCAGGGCGTAAATAGTAAATACCAAATATCCAAAAAAGAAAACAACATACCGTTGGTATCCAGAATTTGGCGTCGTTTATTGGAAAACGACACATCCAGTGTCATAACGAAATGTCGAAATTACCCTCGGCCCCTTCATCTACAGTCTACACCCCTAACTAAAACCCCTGATACACACAACAATTTTTTTCAGAAGCTGCTTCTTCACTGAGTGAGAGAGAGAGAGAGAGAGATTACCAAATGAAAACCCCCAAAAAGGAAGAACAAACTATTTGAAGAAACAGAGAAAAAACCCCAAAATCCAAATCTCCTAAATCCCCAACAATGTCTTCCATAGCCACCAAAATCCCCACCACCACCAGGTTTCTCCCCATGCTCTTCGCCACCAACCTACTCTCACGCGCCTCCCTATCCACCGCCACGGCCGCCGGCACCGAGAGCCGCTCGCAGAAGCTCGAGCGAATCGCCGACGAGCTCCTCGACCTCACCAAGCTCGAGAGGCACGACTACGCCGTCCTCTTCCGCCTCAAGATGGGCCTCGACCGCTACGGCCCGGCCGTCTCCACGGCGCCCGGCCCGGCGTCGGGCGGATCTGGAGAGGCCGGCGCCGGCGAGGCGAAGGCGGCGGAGAAGACGGCGTTCGACATAAAGCTGGAGAAGTTCGACGCGGCAGCGAAGATCAAGATCATTAAGGAGGTTCGGTCGTTCACCGATTTGGGGCTGAAGGAGGCCAAGGATTTGGTGGAGAAAGTCCCCGTCGTGCTGAAGAAAGGCGTCACCAAGGAAGAAGCCGGTCCGATTATCGAGAAGCTCAAGGAATTGGGTGCTACTGTGGTATTGGAATAATAACTCAAGACAAAAAAAAAAAAAAAAAAAAAAAAACCAATTTTTGAGTTTCTCTTGGTTTTATACTTATTTTGTTGATGTAGAATAATGATTAAAGGAAAGAGGTTGAAAATGAAGATTTTTTTTTTTTTTGAGTGGTAAGTTCTGGTGTTCTACATTTGGATATTGTTATTCAAAAGTTGGAAGAGAATTTTGGTATGCCATGAATTTACTAACATGGTTCTGATTCGGATTGAGTTTAATTTGGAATTGTAACAAGGAAACTATGGCATTATGAGTCTAAAATTTTGGCAAAATCAATTCAGTTTATTTGCTTCTTAAGTTGTATGAATATGGCCATTTGGGTTTTTGGTTCTTTATTTTTGGCATTTCATAGTATATGACAATTTCCGAAGTTTGGATTTTTATCTGGGAATTCTCCCGGGGGAGAATACTTTGGAATTTCTAGAAGCATCTAAGTTATAAACTTTTGAAACTTGGAAGTTGAGAATGTTTCCATCATATGAATAGCACCGGAGTTGATATCTAAATTCAGCAATGCGCATGATTGGAGTTTCTTTGAGTTTGATTTTTGGATTTTTTGCTGACGGATTAGGCAAACATTTACTAGTTTACTTCTTCATGTTATGCGGGTTTGATCACAATGGCAATGTCTAGATCTATGTTCACAGGAAGGATTGCTTAATATTCCCAGATAAACAAGCTGCTCATTTTTGTTCACTTCTTTTCGTTTCAATGAAATCTCTCTGGGCTTGAGGAAGCATAGGTGATCACTTCATTCTTGATTGCAAAAAATAATGTTAGTATCACTAATGTTTGACACGTGGACTCTACTAATATGAAATAGTTTGACAATGTATATAAAATGACAAATAACAGAAAGAGTGCTAGTATTTTTCATGCGAGATTCATGCCCTGCCGGGTAGCTTTGGAGTACTAACAAAATCGAACTTTGATTAACCCTGTATCCCAATTCTCATCGCCCCTAAACCGGTTCAATTCAGTATTGGAACCTCCTTGTATTTTGTCAAAATATCACGTTTTATTGGGTTTCGAGTAATGCACAACCATCCCATGTTTTTAATTTCGTGTTAAAAATCTCATTTGTAACAAAATTTTGTCAAGAACAAACTTCGTAACATGAAATTAAAGACCCAAAATGATCTTGATATTTTTGGAAACACATGATAGAAGGTTTAGGTACCTGTCTATTTTGATATATTGGATTGTAAAGAAAACCAGAGGATTAAGTAGAAGAATTGTCTAGGAATAGGAAAAAAATTATGGGTGTGTTTGGAACTCGTTTCAAAATAATTTTATTTTTTGTATGAAAATGAAAATAAAAACGTTTTCATTTTTATTTTGAAATTATTTCTGAAAATGCGTTTGGTAGTTTTAGTCAGAGATTGATTTCAATTATAAAAAAACTCAAACTGCATTTTGGTGGTTTAATTTTTAAAAACATGTAATAGTATTTAAAATAATAATATATTAAATAAATAATAATTGAATCCCAAATAAAAACACTAGTAATTAATAAAATAATTTAAATTACCTTACAAATAAATAGTAAATAATTTAAAATAAGATAACTTAGTGATTGATTAGTAAAAAAAAAGTTTACTTAGTGAATAATCTTAGCTTATATTACTGTCGTATATACGAATCCCATATATGATCAGTAGATGATCCCTAAAATTAACCATATGATTACGTTGTCGCCAACCACCCATTTCGGATGTTTCTACTTCTTGTGTGTCCACACCCTGTTGTTGTCCATGTTGCCCTTCTTGTTCTCCCTCAATACCTTCTAAGGGCAAATCGACATCATATTGTCTAAATAGAGGATCATCTCGCACATGCATCTTAATTAAATTGTAGATCACACAACAAGCAATTGGTATAAGCGATTGTCTTGGCATCCAATTACTGGTCATAAGCCTAAGAATTTTAAACCTTGCTTTCAAGACCCCAAAGCACCTTTCTATGCAATTACGCATTGAAGAGTGATAATAATTAAATAACTCTTGTGGTCCCGTTGGTTGGTCACCGTTTCTAAACTGTTGAATATGGTACCTCTGACCACGAAATGGTGCCAAAAAGCCTTGCCTGTTGCTGTAACCGGAATCCACAACCTAATATTTTGGGTTGGGTGGCACCAAGAATCGGTTCTCTGGATCTCTCATAGTCTCAGTTAACACTCTGGAATCAGCAGCTGATCTTTCCCATCCGGTATTGACGTAAGTGAATAGCATATCGAACAAATAAAAAATAATCCTTGTAAAAGTCAATTGCATAAGCAGCTTCTTACACTGTCTTATTCTGTTGATATAATTGCTTGCTTTCACAGCAAACTAAACGAACAAATCCAATTGCACTTTAGACGAGCTTTTACTACACGGAGTGCAGTGTGTCACTCAAATACCCGCTTATCCTTGTGTTTCTTTCATTTTCTCAATTGAAAGTAATCAAAAACTACCTTTCAATCAACTGGTTATTTTGTTGTGAATCTGTGAATTGTTTCTAAACTAAATTCTTATCAGATACATTGGGGGTCCATCAAAAATATAAGACCTACTGGTGATTCTATTATGCTTCATCAGTTATAAGAATCTATTGATCTCTACACCTATTTTCTTTTGAAGTTGCATAGTTCATATTGACCTTAATCTGTGTTGGTGACTGTAAATTTATAATATGTTTATTGTTATCAATAATTAATTCTTACATGTAAGTAACCTTATTAGGATGAAAGAAAAATGAGAACGATCGGAAATGTGTTTTGCACTTTGGAGATTATGTTCAACTTCAAATGTAGACTGTGTAGTGATTTCACGAACAAATTAAGACGAGGATTAACCTCATGTTCTGTTTGGCATTGACTTTGAGATACATTTAACGACATACCAAGTAAAACATTGTAATAAGTGGGGGAAAAAGTAAAATTTCAGTCTCCCAAGCTAAAAATCTTATATAGTAGTTAGTATTACATAATTATTACACTACTCAACAGTGGGGGAAAAAGTAGAATTTCAGTCTCCCAAGCTAAAAATCTTATATAGTAGTTAGTATTACATAATTATTACACTACTCAACGCATAAATTTTTATTTAATTCATCTTGTTGTTGGTTCTTTAAGTTTTATTACACACACACACATATATATATATATATATATTTTTTTTTTTTTTGGTTGGAGAAAACAACAATTATTTGCATCTCTAACAATTCTTGCTGTTGATTCTAATAATTTCTTTCTTTCTTTCTCTAGATTGGCTTGTTAAACTTGGAAAATGAAGACTTTGTTAGGAAAAAAAACACATCACACATATAAACCCCAAAACACGCACATATTAGCAAAAGTTAAAAAAAACAAAAAAAAAACACCTAACTGGCATACAACCTAAACATCAGCAAATCAGAACCTCTAAAAACCACTAAAAACCATCAACAATACTTCGGCCAAGCCAGATGTCTCAGCATACATCCTGAACCTCTAAAAACCACCCAACCGGAAATACTCAACAAATCATCAGCAAATCAAAAAGAAAAAATACCTACTTAAAATGACAATAACCAGATTAGGGACATACCTCAGTTGATTTGGGGGAGTTGGGGCGGTGAAGAGTCAGTTGATTTGGGGGAATAGGGGCGGCACAGAGAATCAGAGATCAGAGAAGAGGGCGAGACGAGAGAACAGAGCAGATCGGGCAAGAAGAGAACGAAGCAGATCGGGCGAGAAGCAAACGGAGTAGAACGGGCGAGAAGAGAACGGAGAAGAGGGCCTGAAGAGTACTACGTCGAGACCGGTGAAGGGCAAAAAAAAATTTCAGAGAAGAGAGAATAAAAATGGAGAAAACGAAAACGAGTTTAAGTCATTTTCAAAAACGTGATAGTTCTTGGGAAAAATACAAAAACGCTTTTGTTTTCAATTTTAGTAAAGTGTTGCACCAAACACTTTCTTTCTGCCCGTTTCAATTTTTTATCTTCGGAAAACGTGAAGAACGTTTTCAAAAACGGAAACAAACAGCCCTATGACTTGCCATGATGAGAATTGTATTTCTGGTATAAAGATGACCAAAATACCAAAATGGAAGAACTGTCATAAAATTGCATTTCTTCTATTACGTTGTTCTCCCCTCAGATCAAAAAGCAGTGACAACATGGGGATCTCTCCTCGGGCATCAAAAGTCCTTGCATTGTTCTTTGTTCCCATTTCAAGAATCTGAAACCGAAACTCCTTGGGTACAGAACCCCAAAGAGCAAGGCAAATCTACATTACAATTCGCATTCTCCAGATTTACAAGCCTAAATCTCTATTTACATAAACAGACACATGAAGACACATCGCCCTTATCTAAAGTACCGTGCATGGTTCTTGCTCATTCTTGTCGCGACGTGCTAATTTTCGGTCATATCTGAAAACGAGAAAAAAGGTAAAAAGCATGATTAGCATCCTCAAGAGATACGGGTAATCGCATATGGATTGACATGAATCATTTCAAATAGCTTGAAAACAACGGAAACCAGAAATCATTTTTTGACGAAAGCCATTCTTACATATTTGTTGGAAATTACTAACAAAAACTGCATCTAGGATCTAAATTTTAGCATGGACATCTCTTACACAGGGTGGAAGTATTTCGTTAGAATTCTGGCTGAGCTCTCAAAACTTAATTTCAGCCATGCAACTATTCCATTCTTGACAAAACTGATGCAAACGGCATAAGAAATTTACCAAATGCGAAGGGTTTTACATTTCAATGCCTTCATGCCTCAGCAACTGCCTGTGCAGCAGCTGCAGCTGCCTCTTGTGGAGTCATGCCCCTCATCTTTGTAAGCTCTGCATCAACCTGGGATTTAGTAAGAATGTTGACCTCGGTTTTCTCTACTCTTGGGGAATCCTTTTTCATTGCCTCCAGAAGTAACATGGCTGAGCTTCTTCTTTTTTCAGCACCTTTCGAACTTGGTGCAATCCTATATCTATGCTTTACCTGTCAAGAAAAATGTCATAAGAAGTATAATTGGCCAAATTATGATCCGGTCATATATTCAGCGATGAAAAAAAAATATTAGTCTTTTAAACATGTTTACTTCAGAAGTATTTTTCTCCAAATTCAAGCGTGTTTGCGTCCTATACCACAAAATTCAAGAACTAGCAAGTCATTGTTCCAGACATGCTTATTAATATGAAAGTGTTATAATCTAAACACCCTGCACATTTAATAAAACTAGTTGAAACCGCAGGCATACACACGCGAGTTCTGTAGATGGGAATGAAAAGCATATTTGATAAGGTCTCATTTGGAGAAATAAATAAAATAAAATAAAAAGAATGTATAATAGGAAAAAAAAGGATAAGAATGGAAAAGATGGGAAGACAAAAAAAAGAAAAGGAGAGGCACAGGAAAACCACTTAAGAAATGCTTTGTCAGGGGAAGAGGATTTTTATGTGTGGGAAGAAACTATTCCAATGATGAGATAAAAAATAAAAAATAAAAGAGGAGAATGTATAATAGGGTAAAAAAGATATGAACGGAAAAAAGGGACTAAAAAAGAAAGACGAGAGAGAAAGAGTGGAAAGCAAACAAAAAAAAAAAGAAAAAAAAAAAGTGGAATGTAAAAAAAAAGAAAAGAAAAAGAAAAGAAAAGGGGCACTGACGAAACGGCACCAACGAAATGTGCCCCCAAAAACCATTCTTTCTTAGTAAGTATAGAACAGATTTCAGCTCTACGATCAGCACTGCTCTGATTTAATGAGCTTTGAAAAAAAGAAAAAAAAAATTCAATGCACACTATGGTAGATGCATTTTATAATAATTCTTGTGCTATAGAGATGATTACCTTAATCAATTTTCCGTTTAATGTCATATGCTTTAGTTTTGTTGACAGCAGCTTTTTGAGGTTTGGTGGTGCCCAATAATTTGCCTGCAAAATGATTTCAAAATTGTTTCAACTGAGAGAAAAGAAAGCAAGATAACAAAAGAACTCATGGCCATGAGGCATACATTGCAACAATTTTTGTATTATTGTAGATTAAACACGTATTAATTGGGTGAGATGCCATCACAGCTATGGTCTTCAAAGAAAATTTTAAAGGCCCAACGAGTTTACAACTAGCATCCTGAAATCGTAGTTGTATTTCAAAAAAGCAATGAGTCCAGGGGAATGAGTCCATGGCCAATTCATATGATTGATCTATAGCTAAACCAAAATCTTGTTCCTAACTATAATCACCGCTGTTATAAAAAGATAATGCTCCAGAGGAATTAGATTATGGAACATAAATGGCCCGTTTGGTAAACTAGTTCAAGTGGTTTGAACTGAAAAGTTATTCAAACTAGTGTTTGGCAAATCTATTTAAGTCTTGGTTCAAACCATTGATTTGATGTTTTGAACCAAAAAATCAAAGAAATATGAGTTTAACCCCCCTTGTATTTAATTGGTTTAAACCACTTTTCTCAAACTTTCCATTTCAAACCAAAATAGTTCAAACCACCACATTTTGAAAGATAAAATTAGAAACCAAAGCACTGAAAATGTTCTGCAGTTTGACTTCAAGAGTATTTGATTATCAAATAAGATTTTGATAAGTACCATGTTTCTGAATAACAGAATAATTATCATCTTTGGTTATAATTGTTCTCTTATAAGAGGTTTCTGAAAATATAAACAAAATAAAAATGAGTAATACCTCTATATACATAGCAATTGCAGCCCTGTCAGAACCCCTTGGCTCCTTCAACTTGGCAATAGCATCTAAAATAAGCTTATCCAACCTACAATCAACCAAAGGAGGCCCCAACAACGCTAGTCAATCAAAACTTCTAGCGAAAGCCAAATAGCAGCCTTACATATGATATTTTGCCATTATCCTAAAATTACTCCGACACTAGAACAGGCAAAACATTTTTGTTTATCACACGTAGTAAAGGGCCTCAATTTACCTACGGGGTAAAAATATACATTTTAGCCAATAGTAACTTTGCTTCACATTCAACTGTTTTGAGTAGAAAATATTATCTTAATGATAAAAAAAAATAAAAAATAAAAAATAAAAACTCTTAAATTCTTCTGAAAAAAACAAATAAGAAGTAACTTACGTACCTTGCATTTGGTTCTTTTGGATTAGTAATTTGCAATGTTCCACCCTCAATAGCAAGAGGCTTAGCATCAACAATCTCTTCATCATTATGTACAGTGACCACAGCCAAAGGGCTGTTGTCTTGTTTAGGGGCTGGTTGATTCTTTTTAAGCGCAAGCTTAGCCTTCTGCCTAGACCCCCATATCGCAGTTACATTTATATTTCTCCATTTATCCTGTCCAAAACAAAAACTATCAACATAAAAAAATCACACTATCGGCAACATAGTTTCAAGCTCCAAGTTTAATTTTTAAGAATGCAAGAAACAAAACCATCATCAGTCAATAAAAAGAACATTTTGAGGTGAAGAGTATCTGATAACTTTCTTTCTGTTATAGTGAGAATACTAGGTAAAGGTTTGAAGATGGATACCTTGAGATCAACATTGGAACGCAAATGCAAGATGGAACTGAACTCTGGGTCAGTGAGTATCGTGCGCCATTTGCCTGCCCCATGTTTAACTACACCAGCTTTAAGGGCCGCTTCTTCTTCCGCTGTCCACTTCTGTTTAGGAGCACCCATCAACCGAAGTCAAGAGCCCTTCTGGAAGACAGTCAAAGTCAGCACTTGCTCTCTATAGATAAATAATTTCTACTCTTATATAAACAAGAGTTCTGTATAGATTATAGTGTCTGTAAACTTTGAAAACCATAGCCTCAATAACAGGAAAGGGAAAGAACTAACCAAACATACAAAAAACAACAAACACAAACATCTGGTTTTAAATAAAACAAAAAAGTTACATAATAATGCTCGATACAAGTTTAAGATACTACTTTTTTAATCTATAATGTCACAAAGCAAACAGAAAAAGAGAACCATTCTACTAAGAAGCAAATAAAAAGAATAAATTTCTTGACATTTGATCCTCTTTAAAGCAAGACATGAACTAGACAGAGCCCAACAAATTCCAGACTTAAACTAAATCCCTCAAAATCCACACAAACTAACAAAATAAAAACAAAAAAACACACAATGAAGAATCATATCACTCCTTTAGTCCCTTCAGCTGTAATTCCAGATTAAAATTTTTCTTCTGATTCTGCTAAAGAAAAACACAACAGAAATTACGAGTATAACACCTCCGTACTCGTAATTTTCAGGTAAAGTTAGCTCAAAGATTCGAAATTCCATAACGTAATTGAGTTCCGATGTCTTCTCCCTAGCAAATTCAAAGACGAAAATCAACAAAAATCAACAAAAATGGCCAATGCAACAACACCACCAACGGAACGATAAATTCACAAATATAGCTTCTTTTTTTTGCAATAAAACAGCGAAAATTGAGAAACAACAAATTCACATAGAAAAGATTGCCATTTCGCGAAAGAAAAAGTGAGAAAATTTAAGCGATTAAACTTTTATCTGTGAGGTTTAGGTGCGAAGAAATTTCCAGAGGGAAAAGGAAGGAAGAAAAGGGAAACGTTAAGGAAGCAAGTGTGTTACCGGATCGAAGAGATTGCTGGGGAAACTGACGGAGAATGTGGAAACCAAGAGATCTTTTCACATTCGGATTATTCGAATCATCCAAAGCTTTTGAGAATTGTTAACGTTTAACAGCGAAGGGAAGGAGGGGGGAAGAGAGAGAGAGAGAGTATGAAATTATGGATTTTTTTTCTGCAACCTCTTTTTTCTTATTTTCCTTGGAAAATGGAAGATTTTTTTTTTTTTCCCTGCAACCTCTTTTTTCTTATTTTCCTTGGAAAATGGAAGTTTGCCATCCGAAGAAATAAAATCTTCTTTTTAATAAAAAAATGAAAGTATTGTTTTTTGTGTTAATTACATAACTTTGCCTTTTAATTTTACTAGTTTGACCCCTGTGTTCGCGTGGGATTAGATAGAAAAAATTAAATAGACGCACATTTAAAAAATATTTAAATATGAAAGAGTAAAAAATCACATCAAATAAGGATTATTGTAGAGGTGTTTTTAGTATAAAAATAAAGCAATAAATAAAAACACATTTGAAAAAAATTAGGTTAATAGCAGCAAAGCAAAAAAAAAAAATTTTGTTTTAGAAAAAACATGTTATAGTGACTCATAGAAAAAACATGTTATAGTGACTTATAGAAAAAATTATGTTATAGTTTTTTGATTAAAAAATGAAAAGAAAAAAATAGGAAAAGAAAATTATTAAAAAATAAAAATAAAATAAGCAAAAAGAATGGGAGTTGACACTTTCAACAGAAAATGATGAATGGAAAAAGACTTTAGCTTTTAATAGATAATCTTCTTTTTTAGATATTACAAAGGCACCATTTAGGTTTAGATTTGAAAACTATATTTTAATTTTATCTTTATTAGTGTCTTAAAAATAAGATAAAAAGACATAAATGATAGAAATGACAATGAACAGGTCTTGGCCGCTTAAAAAGAGATGGAATTCAGATGGGAGATTTTTCATTGGGTCGTTCTCCATATTCATCTCATTTTCTACCCAATTTAAACTACGCAAATCAAAATTATAATGCACGAAACAAATCATATTCACAAATCAATTCTTTAATAATAAAGTCACAAAATGACTAATTGTGTTTAGAATATCATCTGTATAAAATATATATTATATGGATAAGTATATTAAGGTGGGGACTGCTTCACCCATCCTCACAGATTGTCATCTCTACATAAATTCCTTTAAATAACTTTTAAATATTTTAAAATTTTAAGAATATATGTAAAGAAAACCTTAAAATGTTTTACAATAATTTTTCTCTGAGAACTTTCAGATTTCGGTAGTTTACTCTATAAAAAAAACTCTTTAAGCTTGCCAATTCACTCTCAACTCATTTAAAAAAAAAAAAAAAAAATTGGTCTGATCGAATTTTAGCGATTTTTTCTAAACGAGAAAAAAAGATTGAGAAATTGAGATATTGAGAATTTGAAGAATCAAGAGTAATTGTACATCACATTGTATAACAATAATCATTGTACGTGTGACATGTGTCCATTGTATTTTGAAAATCAGAGGGTAAAAATGGTCATGGCTCGGGAGAATTTTTATAATTAACCTTATTATCAAAATTAGGAGCAAACGACATGTCGTGTATTGATGAATATAAACAATGCTACATTTTATGGGGAAGTTTTCTTCCCTCATTCGTTGGTTTTAAGGCAATGGCATCCTCTTTGCGACGCATCTCTCGCCATGGCAGTGCTCTTCGATCGACCTTCCTCAGTGGGTCCCGGCCATTCTCCGCCGACGCCTTAGAGGTCATCAAGGCCGGCGAGATCGGCATGGTCTCTGGGATTCCCCAAGAACACCTCCATCGCAGGGTACGGCTCTCCATTTTCCTCTCTCTTTGTCAGCTCAAATTCGATGCCCTAGTTTTCTCGTTCCTGCGATTTTGGTCTCGCGGAGTGACCTAAAGCATTCGAATTGGGATTTTTCGGAATGCTTTTTGGTGATTTCTGTGAATTAAAAGTAGTTGGATGTGGATTACAGGTTGTGATTTTCTCACCTGCAAGGACGGCGACGCAACAAGGATCAGGGAAAGTTGGGAGGTGGAAAATCAATTTTGTATCCACACAAAAGTAAGAAGCTTTTAATAGTCTCTCTTTGCTTAGAAATTTGTTAAAGTTTTCGTCTTTGAGTCTGAACTTTCTTTTTAAAAAAATTTGGCGTTCCTGAATTTTTGTTATAGTGATTATGGTTTATTTATCTAAACATTGAACTACCCAAATGACGTATTACAGTATTGATGGTTACTTCTGCTACTGATATTAGTGTCACTTCTTTTTATTGTTATTAAAATCTGGGCTATGCTTGATAGTTTATGAAGCATACAGTTTTTTTTTCCTGTCAGAAAGTACAAATTTGTGTTCTTATTCCTGCAGTTCATGGATTAGCAACTATTTGTATCGTGATCTTTTGTGTTGAGCTCTCTTTGGAACATTTCTTTTCATTTTTGTTTGTGTGAAAGAACTACAACTCCTAAATGTTTCTGTTCAGATGTGATCTTTTATGGCCGTGGTTACATTTTGTATAGTTAATTTTGGAAATGGGTTTTGAAGGTGGGAGAACCCACTTATGGGTTGGACATCGACTGGGGATCCATATGCCAATGTTGGTGATGCTGCACTAAGTTTTGATAGTGAAGAAGCTGCAAGGGCATTTGCCGAGAAACATGGTTGGGATTATGTGGTACGTTTTCTTTATCGTTCTTTAATCCTTCTTATTCCTATCCAAAAAGAATTTATCTGTTCTTTATTGTCTTGAGCTACTTTTCTATCCTGTTATTTCTCAGGACATACTTAAATATTCTGCAAATTGACCTTACTTTGTCGTTTTGAAGTTTTGATTTAAATACGAATTGACTGATATATTGTGCTAGGCAGCCAGCTTAATGAATTGGTGGTATCTGTGTGGCCTGACGACTGCAAATTTTGTTATTTTAACCTAATTATGCTGACATGTATTATATTTGTTTTTTACTTTTTTTTTTTGCTTTTCCAATTACTGTTGTTCTCTACTTGAATTTCTTTTGATTCTTTTTCTTAGCAGTTAGTGTGATTAGCCTATGATAGAAGTAATGTTTTCTTAAGCAGTAATTTTCCATTCCATTTCAATTATTGACTAGTTTTGAAATCATGCGCAGGTTAAGAAACCCAACACTCCCTTATTGAAGGTCTGAAATTCTCTCTCTATTTCTGCTACTTTCCCTGACTGTATGGTATAGGATTTGATTTGTTTGTGTTGGGGATGCAGAGCTCATTGTAGTATCATGTTAATTGGAAATCAAGGCTGGGTGTAGGAATACGAGTACATCATGAACTTCTGTGAATTGAAGTTCATAGACGTCTTGGTTTTTTAACCTAGTAGCCACTATTGTAGTGGCTCTAAGAGCATCTCCTATGCATTGCTAAATTAGTGTATCGATGGCAAATTTTAGCATTTGAGTAGGGAAATCATTTTGCGAGGCAGTTGCATTGCTATTCTTCGGGCTAAATTTGACATATTCTGCACTTGGTGCCAACTGCCAAGTACGACATTATCATCTTAATTTACTTTTATAAGTTCTAAAACTTAATAATTATGACAAAAACTAGATATAATATTTGAAATGGCATGATGCATCGGAGCACAAAATAGAATAACATATTGAACATGATATTTTCAGACTTTTTAGTGCTGATTATGGTATTGGCATTGGCATTTGCATTGGAAATGCTCTAAGGAATATGTGCAGAATGGTTGATTTTAAAATCCATTATTCGGCTATTTTAGGTGGTTATTTATTTATTTTCTCCACGAAAGGTGTTTAGTTGACCATGAAAGTCCTCGCCACTACTCTCCCATCTTGTGTTATGCTCTTGGCATGCTCTGAGAAGTGGAGTTAAGGTTTCATGTGGCCTGACTGGAACTTTTAAGTGGTATGATAGATAAAATCTTTATTTTGGAATTTGAAAATTGTGTCTGCTGATATCTTTCATAAATTTTAAAGTAGTGGCATGACGTAGCTTTGAGTTTGTGTAACTTTTGCGAATCATAGGATGTTAACTTAGCTTTGAGTCCGCATAACTTTTGCCAATCACATGATTTCAACTGAGTGTGCAGCTCTGGAATGGCTCTAATCGTGTGCTGTTTTTACTGTTTTACATTAGGCAAGGGCATATGCAGACAACTTCAAATGGAAGGGCCCCCCAAAAGCCGAGGAATCCGCTTCTCATTGATCTTCCTTCTTGACTTCTGTTTTAAGTTTTACAAGACACATTGCTCAACAAAGCTTGTGATCTTCTTTGTCTCACAATTTCTTCTCAAAAAATCAGTCGTCCCAAATGAACTACTCGAGTATAATAATTGGGTTACATGGCTTACAACCTTTTCTTTTCCATCCCTTTGATGATCATAATTCGTTTATTTTTCTTATTGAGACGCTCCTTGCATGGATTTTTTCCTATGTCATCATCATGTTGTATTCAGTATTAACATGTCGTTTCCAAGTAGTCCTGAAGAAACTGGGACACCTTTTCATCACGAAAGTGCCTTGATGTTCATTTGACCATGGTTTTGTGATAGAACCCCCACCTATCTCGGGAAAGATTAGGGAAGAAACTGTTCTCTATAGAATAAAAGTGAAGAATTTAAGAAAGTACCACGCTAAGTAACACGGCACTGTTCGAGAAACTGTTAACTCTCCCCATTGGATTCCCTTAATATCTAGAAACTAGACATTAATCCCTCACTAATTGTTGATCTCCTTTTATCCACTAACGACTATTACTGTTTTTTTGCTGGGATAACAACTATTACTATTTAGTTACACTGCTAAAAACCTCTAATAATCAACCTCTTTCTACCCGAGCCTAGCATTTTGATCAGTATCACACCGTGATTTTGAGTGGTGAAAAAGAAATGTTTTAGCCTAAACAATTTTGGCAAAAAAAAAAATGTCTTAGGCCTCGTTCGCTTCACATAGTAGAGTTTTTAATTCGAGTTAAGATGTGATATTTTTTTAGAATTTTTAACTGTAATAAAAAAAATTAAATATGATATTTTTAAGAGTTTTTAATTGTAAAAACGTAAAACTGAAAACTCGAATCGGTATGAACGAAGATCTCACCTGCGGCAGAGGTAGCAGCATCTAAGCCAGTATCTGGGCAAGTTGGCTTCATCGACTCAGCAATTGAAGTGGTTGATCTTGAACCAATTTGTTCATCAGTTGCCCCATTAATTACCCGGTAAACTCTCCTGGATCAATAGCATTGGATCGGGAGGCTTTAGTGTCCTGCCTGTAAGAAAATTTGACAAAATACTGCCACACCACCGAGTGCCAAGAACATACTCAACCTCCCACAAAATGTCATCAATCACATTCTTGCTGAACTTTTGGTTGTTAATGAACTGGTTATTCAATCGATTCCTAGGGATGAGCGAGTGGCATCCTCTGTCGCCACTGATGTTTTGTCCCTTTAGTTTAGGATATTTTTTTAATAAATCTCTTTTCCTTAAATAAAATAAAAAAAGACGTAATGCCTAGCCTGAGCTTCAAAGAACTTCGAATTGGCAAACTATATGGCTTACGGAACAAGATAAGAGTTTGGATATTTAAAAATTTACCCCTATTTGGCAATTAGGGCTCGATTAAAAGCTGACATGTCTTTGAACTGGATGGTAAATTACACTCGAGACATAAGTGAAGGTGGCGGTAACTTGGGTAAGTTACCTACCAAAATTTTGAGATCGTCTTTAAAATCACACATCTTCCAAAATTGCCATTTGAGAATAAACTCAAATTGTAAACGAGAACAATGTAATGTTCATATGTAATACAACATAACTAAGCTCAAAATAATGAGCAGGCACGAGCGAGAGACGACGATGTGAGATCCGCAACCACGTTGTGCTTTGTATTTTTTTCAACAACGAAGTACATTAGGTTGATAGATACCTATTTTCTAGGCTTTCTATGCAGCCTCCACAAGTCCTGTGTAACACGTTACTAATTCCTATAAAATGGCCCTTTTATCTTTTTAACGAATGCTGTTAATTGTGATTCCACTGGTATCAGGTAAGAGCTTTTTCATATAATACTTGGAATTACGGGACAGGTTGATACTTTTTCTTCGTTTGTTGGGTATTGACTCAATTGAACATTCTGAGAACCCGCGCCTTACGAACCTGCGTCGTAAGAAAAAACAGGGACATCTGATTTTTTACCATTGAAATGAATATTAGCCTTGTGTTTTAGAATCAAGTACAGGGAGTTCAAAACCATACCAATCTGCAGTTCGGGTTGTAAGCAGGAAAAGCTTCTCCAGCCCAAGCGAAGATGCCTTCTTCTCAATGTAATCTGCAGACATTTGGTGTCTGCTTAAAAGATAATGCGGTAGGCAGCATGATTACCAACTACAGGACTATGAAATATCAAACAAACCAAAGCATACACTTAAGACAAACACACAATAAAATACACACGCCTGAGTTAGCAAACTCATGTTTTGACAGAATACTTTGTGCAGATAAGTCACCTTTTTCTTTTGTTTTAACTTATTATTTCAATGGGATTACAATCTGATCCATACACAGGAAGGACTGAAACAAACAATGCCATATTTTCGTAGTACAAGTAGATTCAAGTCATACCTAGTAATTTGTCTCCCTGCCCTTCTCCACGGCATTCAGGGGAAACAGCAATAGCAGCAACCTCTCCACATTTCTCCTCTACGAAGGGATAAAGAGCAGCACAAGCAATAATCTGGCCTTCTCTTTCCACGACAATAAAAGAATCCAATGTTCCAAGTAGCTATTAGCACCAAAGGAAAAAGAACATCAATATTTAATCCAGTTGAAGAACCACCCGTTTATGAAGACCGATACCAAAAGCATAGAGTTAGGTTTCCAGCTTTCCCATATAAGTAATAGTAAGAATAAAGTATTAATTTGTAAGGAAATATATGAAAGGGGGACCACAAACCTCGTCATCAGTTCGGCGAACCAATGTGCCAGATGCTTCTAAAGGTTCTATAATTGCTCTTATTGCAGAGAGATCCGTCACCCTAGCCATCCGGGTACCTTCATAAACGTCGCTGTAAACAAACATTTTATGCAGCCATTAGTCCAAGAAAGGGAAGGACAAGATTTTCAGAATGAACAAGACTCCTACATGATTCTCACAATCATATGAAAGCTTCACAATTTCCAAGCCATCTAAAAGTAGAACCCTCAAACGAGGGGCTAAATAATATTCACCTAAACAAATTTTTAAGACAGCCTACATTCCACAATATTCATTCATGCCAACCACATTCCAAATGTAGTGTACATCTTCTTGTTATTCTATTTATTTGATTTCTACTTTACAATCAAAAAGTTGAATGTAAATCCAATCAGTTTAGCAGAATAATTTTACCCAAGAGTGAAAAACGTAGATTTGTCAGTAAAGACGCAATAAATAAATAAATAAATGGAAAAAGAAAAACGCTAAATACAAATAGTTGCATACCTAGCCACCATTGTCCCCATTCCATCTCTTTTAAATAATTCCAACAACAACACTCCTCCTTTAGTGCCATCTAACAAATGAACTCTCTGAACACCTCCCTGGAAATAAAAAAAAAAAGAAAGTACCATTGGCAGGATGCTTGACGCTCAACAAAAAAAACCTCCCTGGAAATAAAAAAAAAAAAAGAAAGTACCATTGGCAGGATGCTTGACGCTCAACAAAAAAGGTAGCTCAAACTTCGAAGTATCTGGACACACATCATGTGAACTGGTTTTCCCAGACCTGAGAATTCAATGAGTGCGCCATTCCAAGGCACAAAAATATTATGATATTATTCCTCTACCTTCTAATGTTGCATAAGTATTGAATAGCTCATTCGCTGTAATAGAAATAGACATGACAAGGAAGTATGAGGGGAGACAAGCTGCACACAACTACGATGTCGATGACCAAGGTTTTAGTCAAATGCTTAGCATTTGCTTGAGCATACAGATCTAGCTAGGATAATTTTCATTTAAAAAAAAAAAAAAAAAAAACTGTGTTAGGATTCCAAATCAAAATATATGATTTAAGTAGTCCTCTAATCTTTCCTAAGACGTTTCACTCATTCATAATCTATGCAAATTAACAAAACTGAATTGCAGGAACACCGGGGTTGTTTTTTGAATAAGATACATGACTCTTTGCCCCAATAAGTATGACCGAGTTTTGACTATTTACTGAGAAGAAGAAAAAATCTTTGCATTACGAAAAGGTTCTATATTCAAATTGCAATGGCTAGCACATGAAACAAGAGAATCTAGTAAAAATTCTCTGCAATTAAAAAAAAAAAGCAACTAAAAGGCAAGGACACACATTTATATATGAAATGCAATTAATTCGTAAAAGTAAGGGCTTACCCTACAAACAAAAGCTGCAGCAGCCAATTCTGAAAGGTAACCATTTTGTCGACTTAGCCGCTCCTGACCTCCAATAGCAAAACCCTGTTCGCCATTTCCTTTATCAAAACCAACACCATTCTGAAACATTGCACTGTGTTTTTCCCTAAGAGCCTTCCCATTCTGTTGAGAGGCAATAGAGCCATTATGTCCAAGGCAAGAAAGATCTTCTTCATCGACAACCTTCACATAGCTAGCAGCTATTTCACTTTGCTTGGCCCGTTTACGGATTAACTTATCTGCTTCTTGCAGGGTCAAGAACCGAATAAGCCGTCCACTTTCATCCACAATTGGACCATCTATAATGCAAATAAGCTTGTCCGCTTCAATAGCTAATGCACAAGCTGTTGCAACTTCATATGTGCTGCAATTTACAAAAGCACATCACTCCAGTGACCAGACATTGATCATCAGTTAATTTTACTTTTCTTGGGTGGTTGGGACATCATTAGAAGGGGTAACAAGATCAAACTATTTTGTTACCATTTGAATATATTACGTAGCATACATGAAAACGACGGATGCAAATAGCAAACTACCGACCACTTCAACCGTAAAGGAAATGACATTGCAAGGTATCTTATATAAAACAAATAAATTAAACTTACCAAGACTTGAAGTGAAGAAGGGCCTGTTTGGTATACGGGTTCAAACCAAGTTTCAAACTAGGGTTCTTGATTATGACTTTTGAAATTCAAAATTTTTGTGAGAGAAAAACACTATAACATAACCAAAACCATGGGTTTGCATTGTAGCAGAAGCCATTTACCAAACATCACCGAAAAGACTCCTAGTCTGTCCACCTTATCACCACCTAAGACCAAGGCTACAGGAAAGTCTATACATGTTCGATTCTAGAATGGTTTTGATCATCCTACTAATATATGTATCCTTTCAAAAGAGAGAGATATTTATTCCTGTTCACTTAGTTGAACTTTTCATTTATTTCAAAGTATTATTTGTTATACTAGGCCTCTACAAAGTTAATAAAGGCCTGGCCATGATTTATCCTATAATAAAACTAGTAGATAAGAAGTGTGAATTGTGTGGTTAGACTTGGTGCTACATTGGTGAAAACTGGTTTAACAGGAAAGAGGCATCTATCCTTATGAATACCTCCAAACGATAAGAAAAAGAACCTTAACTTTACAAAATAAATCCAACAAAGAGAGAAACAGATAAAATAAAGGTTGAAGCTCTAAAGCATACTTGCAATTTAAAACCTCTCCAGAGCTAGAATAGCCAAGGTTGCTCAATATAACTATACAACCACCATTAAGCCTCTCGCGCATGCGAGCCACATCCACTTTCTTAACTTCACCTGTCGCCCCATAATCAACACCTTCAACAACTCCTCTTCTCTGCCAAAAATTATAAATAAAACAAAATTTAGCAGATAATGTGGTAATTGAACACCAGAATATCACTCTGAAAGAGTTGAAAGTTGCCCTTCGAAGAGTTAAAGACCCTTACCTTGGCTGCAAGAAAGTTGCCACTGGCAACACTGACACCAACTTCATGCAAACGACTATTGTCACCATGTCGTCGAATATTGCAGATGAAGGGTCCGGGAGAAAGCTTTGCCTCTAACATCACACGAATCCCACCAGCTGCTTCCATTGCAGCTGCTAAAGATTCAGAATCTGTAATTCTGTATCTACCAACATACTTTGGCTCACTTCCTGTGGGGAAAGAAAATTACATAACTATGGATCAATTTGATCTAACCTAAGCACATAAGATACTTCCTGTGGGGAAAGAAAATTACATAACTATGGATCAATTTGATCTAAATCATTCCCTAAGCACATAAGAAGAATAAAACTTTAGAAAAGATGGAACATAGCCAAAAAGATAATTTCTTTTAAGATTCAGCTACTGAAAAAGAGAATCACAGCATTAAGCAAAACCAAGGAGTGAAAAAGAAAATCAATTTCCCTGACCTTTCTAAAGAATTACAAAACCAGAAAAGATTGGGAAAAAATAATTAATAATAATAATAAGAGAGAATTATATTAAAAAAGATTCCGTTACTTTAAAAAAGAATCATTATTATCTAATTCGTAATCTATTAATAAAAATCACTGGTTTAATCAAAAGAACGCAAAAGAAAGTGAAAAGGAAAATCAGTTCTTCTGACCTCTCTCGGCGAGCAGCTTGTCAATTTGCATGTGAGTCCCCGGAACAAGAACAAACCTGATCCCAAGGTGGTGAAGGAAAGCAATATCCTGCATGCAAAATCAACTTCAACTTAATCACATATTCTGTAATATTCTTTATTCGCATTTTCTCGGCAACCAAACAGTAAAAAGAAAGAATTCAAAAGCGGAAAATAGGTTAGGTGCCTTGAGAATGGGATCCAAGTGAGGGCTGGAAACAATCTCGCCGGAGATAATGACAACGAAGGTGCCTCCCCTGTGGGCCCAGAGATACGGCCAGGCCTCGCGAAACCACCGCACGAATTGCTCGTCCTCCACCGAATTGTAGCTCTGTTCCACGCCGTCGGCTTCCACTCCGGCGAACACATTGCGTTCCGGCGAAATTCGGAACCTTCTTTTGCCGCTCCAATCGTTTAGGGTTAGAGATTCCGAGAAACGGAATTGCTCGGTCCGATTGGCCGAAAATTGGGGAAGAAAGTCACGGGGGAGGTTGCTCGGACCGAGGACGATACGGCGGCGGGTTTGCAGAGGAATGTTGAAGGTTGAGATAGAGGCGGCCATGGAAGGAAGGAAGTGAGGAAGAAAAACCCTAACGAGGCTAAATTACAGAGGAAAATAACTTACTACTGATACTATGAAGTATGAACAAGGAAGAAGGGAAGAGGAGGGGAGAGACGAAAGAGGGAAGAAGGAAAATTTACGACCGTAGCTGGAAATTGATTCTGTTTTTCACGTTTTAAAAAAAATGAAAACGTTTTTAAAATAATATTTAACACAATAAAAATAAAAAATAAAAATAAAAATAATTTTTTAATTTAAT